TGAAACCAAATATTTTCAGTGTCTCTTTCATTTTCCTCCAAGTAGGGGGAAAAATCTTAGAGCATAGCAACGTAATGTTCACAATTCATCGTATCTACCTGGCCTATTTCGTTTTCAAAAAAATAAGGTCCAATTATTCCAAATTTAACAAAAAAAACACATTATTTAGTGTCACTATATGGGGAATACGTCTAGGAATCTTTGGGGCCTCATTACCATGTTCCCGAACATCCATAATCTATTTAAAACTCGATCGGCGGTTGAGAACAATTGCACGTAAAAGAAGTTCGAATCGCGTTCGAATTGTGGCCACGATAGACTTATTGTTTTGGAGACAGGTCTCGAAAAAGTCTCGAAAAGGTCACGAATAGGTTCAAAAATATGTTTCGTATTTTCTTCCCCTTTTACCTAATCAAGTAAAAAACAAAAGCATTTTGTGTGTATCTAGAGACCCAAACCATCGCTTGGTCGGGCTATTTTAATCGCAAAATACCTCTAGATTTGTTGTGAAAACTTTTCTACCAAAACACCTTCCTCCGACTTATCAAGTGTTGCTTAAATTTTGAAAGGTAATATTATCACCATGGTAATTTGGAGAGGTTATTTTTAAATTTTCTTTAATTAGATTAAGAAGTTTTCTTATTAAAAGGGACAAATCGTGAAAAATTGAGAAAAACATTAGTAAAATATTACTTTTTTCCTGTAGGAAACATTTCTACCAGATATTTTTCTCGAATTTACAATGATAGTACAATTTCTGAAAGAAAATCTTACTAGAGAGGTACATAAACGAGATCACTTTTCGATTTTCCCAAGATTTTTCCCAATAAATGTGAAAAGCCATAAAAAAGACAGGAATAAGGCAAGAAAAACGGGAAAGTCGGTACAATATTAAAAAAATATTATCGAAGAAAATTATTTAATTTTATTTATTATTTAATTATTTAATATTTACCATTTAATTATTTACCATTTATTATCAATTATTATCGTCAATTATTGTCATTTATGATAGCATATAATATACAAAAGAAAAATAATTTTTTTTTTTTTAATATAATAATAATAACAATATAGTCACCTATGCGATAATAAAAACTAATCGAAACTTCTTGTGAAAACAATTTTTATTTTCATAAAAAAAACCTTCATTGTTTAATAACTCTTTTTTAGACATAAAATTAAATTAATAAAAGATATATTTTAATATTAAAATTATTAAATATAGTATAAAACCATAATAAAATGTTTTTAAAGTGTAATAAGCAATCCAGATTCTGAAAAAAAAAAAATTAAAAACCTAGTTTTAATAAATTTACTTTATCACGTGAAATATAAACTACGGAGACAGATATAATTACTTGTTATATCTCTGATTAGCTTCCAGTCTATATTCGTTTTCTTTGAGAATATGACGTTTGAATCCTTTAATACTTTTTAGAAAATAATCTTGCCATACAATATTGGATATTTCCATGTTGAACAAACTTTTGTCCATATCGCTCTGCGATGCAATCAGCTCTTGTAAACGAGTGTCATCGAAATGGAAATGTCGGAAGACGAAAAAATCTATGTCTTTCATCATGGTGTTCAGTGTTCTATACAGTCTTACCGTTCTGTTAAAATAAATTTATAGTTATTTTTTTTTAAATATAATGCACTGCACCGAATAAACCAACGAAAAAAATATTTTTAATGTCCCTTGTAACTCTTTAGAATTTTGTCATTAATTTATAATTTTCCCAACCTTATTTCATATTATAGAAATATTTTTACCTAATACAAATCTTTTAAAAAACAATGCGAATTTTAAAGTACCTACAGTATATAGCATGAAAAAATAACCATTTAAAGTTGTTTAAATAGATAACGCCGATGCTTATCACAAAGTCGCCATCATATTAGGTTATTTTGCCATGCAACATAATATACCTACGCCACTTTCAAAAAAAAATTAGAAACTTTAATCAAAAAATGGTAAGAGTGGAGATTGATCGTTGAAGCTGCCAAACAGCACATTCTTGATATGAATGCTATGAACATACAATGTTTAATACTCCTGGTTTCATTTAAGTAGTCAATAGCGATGGTTGAAGCTAAAAAACATTAACCTTTATCCATAACATCATAACGAAATACATATTGAAATTCAAACTTGTATCGCAACAAAAAAATTGGCTATAAAACGCCCCAATGACCATAAATCAATTATTTATTTCCGAATATGTGATCTATGAGTCTCTCAAAGTGTCTAATATAACCTAAGATAAATTTTTCAAATGTACTAAATAATTTAACTTAAATTTTACAGTAAAAATATTGAAGGTAGGTACTTCTATTATCCGTTTTGTAATGTTGGTAAAATATCTAAAGATCATTGACAATAATGCTATCATGTTTATAATTTCTAAATACGGTGTAAAATTGTATTAAAGTCATCCACATAAACGGCGGTTTTTCTAAGAAGGCAGGAGCTCAGAAGACTTTTCTCGTGTTAAAATACAAAAAATATTATAGTATAAATAATTTAGCATAATAAAATTAATTCTAATATAATAAGAATTGTGAATTTTCAATAAATCTTCAACTTATAGTTATAGTAATAAGTATAAGAAGCAGTCGCTAGTAAGTAAGAACTTATAACATAAAACGATTCAATATCTTTAAAAATAAACCCCAAAAAAAAAGGCCTTA